AAGAAAGAAAGAAAGAAAGAAAGAAAGAAAGAAAGAAAGAAAGAAAGAAAGAAAGAAAGAAAGAAAAGAAAGAAAAAAGAAAGAAAACCCAGGAGATCCTGGTCCCCAAATTGAATGCACTGCACAATGTGTGCAGTGCCACTGCAGGAGGACCAGTCATGTGTTGTATGGTCACATATTTAGCTATGGAAAGCGACCAGAGAAGAATGTCAGAGAAGGACTCTACCATAGCCTTGAAGGCTGAAGTTGGAGACTGGAAACGGAAAACTCATCACCAGAGCTGCTGGTATACGTAGAGGAAGGCATTTAGGAAGACAGAATGCAGAGCTGTTGTAAAGAAACCTGGTTCCCAAGCCCAGGATTCCATGCATCCTCAGCCGGCCCACATGCAGGCCAGAGGGAGGATGGAGAGCCTGACCAAGTCACAAACACCAACGTTATGGTAAAACTAAACCGGTGCCATTCCCCAAGTGGCTGCAGCTGGCAGTGGGCCAAGAGGAGCAGAGAGCCATATGGTGGGGTAAGAGACCAAAATAGATAGGCATGCCATGCAGAGTGAGGTTGGATATTTATTTATTTGGTTATGGAAGGGAAAGGGAAGGGGAGAAGGGGAGAAGGAGCAAGAACAGAGAGAGGCAGAGAGAAAGAGAGGGGGAGAGAGAAGAGAACCAGAAAGAGGGGGGGGAGGGGAAAAGGGAGAAGTGAGATGAAGGGAACAAAGCAGAAACTGCCTTTCAGTGGGAGAGACAGAAAAACAGGAACTCAGGCTGGAAGTAGAAGAAAAATTTGTTTGCCTCAGCAGATGAGGGGGTGGGGAGAAGTGGGTGGGGCTTGTCTCTTAAAGGGACAGGTCAGATCAGTACAGTAGTGAGACACAAAAATCGAGATAAGTTTTAGAACAGTTGGTGCTGTAGTCATGATCCTTGGAAAAATAGAAAGGAATTTATTTTGAGTTCCCCATTCTGTGAATTCAGAAGTCATTCTAAAACTGTAAGAAAAAGAAAAAATTTTAAAATATTAAAAAGAGGGAGATTAGAAAGGAAATACGATTGACCAGAACATGATGCAAGTCAAGACAGCCTCAGCTATGGGAGGTGAAGCTTCCACCTGCAATGCATTCTGTGTGAAGAGAATTTTTTTTCTGCTGCCATCCAGTGGTCCTTCTCTGCTCATCCAGCAGCCATGCAGCCTTCCCACATTGAGAACTGCCCAGTGTCGACACATGGAACAAATGTCAGGATCCACACTACCTTTGTCTGTAAACAGCATGAAATCCAAGGAGCACAGAACAGTTGTGAAACTCCACTGAGTCCTATGGGTATGTTCATACTTTTCTCACATTTACATTACACCAATCTCAGCATAGGACAAAGCTAAACCCTCGAATTACTTAAAAACATGTAGCAAAAAATATCCAGAAAGGAGTGTGTGTGATACAAAAACGTGTACCCAAGGAGACATGTTTTACCACTGTGCTATTTAAAAAATCCAGTGACACAACTTAATATCTCTGCATATTCCATGTTTTTAATTTCAAGTGTAAGATCTAAATAAAGATCACATTGCTGAATCTAATTAAAGATTACATGAACTGGATCATTTAATAAGCAAAATACTATTTTTTATACTTAAACTTTACTTCTTTAATTTTATTTCTGCCCTCCTCCCAATAGAGCATCATGTTTTAAAGTATAATTCAATGTCAAGTTGCTTCATGGTTCAAAGTTGACCCCGGAGATAATCTCGTGATGAGTCAGACCTGGGTACAGAGGTTTAGCTGGTGTGAAGTTTAGAGTATGGTGCATGAAGATGACGTATTGCGCTTCATTTTCTCTATCTCTTCTTGAAGTTTCCTGCTCTCTTTCAGAAATCTTTCCTTGAGAAGTTGTTCCTGTTCCTAAAATGGAGATGAAGAGTGAACTCAGACAGCTCTGATGTTCCTCATGTGTCTCATAAGCTCTCCTTTGGAAGTTATACTAAACCCTGGGGGAATTTTGAATTTTTCCCACAATTGTTTCCTTCATCGACTTCTATATTTTCTACCCCCGTCTCCTCATATGGCAATAAAATTCCTGTGCTTTCTCCAGCTTTAGAAAAGTTGTCTACCAGTTTCTAAAACACCTGTGACCCACAACTCTGATACCAATTCTCAGATTTCTTGGCTCATGGAAAGCACAATTTTCTGTAAAATCAACGCTAGCTTCCCTCTTTCTTGCCTCATCTCTGATCTGTGTGCTGTAGACTATCAAACACATGCAACAAAGTGATAAAACTGGCAAAAAAAAAAAAAAAACGAAGTTTACCAGATTCAGAATTAGGTCATTACCAGATTCAGAATTAGGGCAGGCATTCAAGTAATTTAGTGCATCTTCTAAAAGTTTAGTGTCCAATACAAGAGACGGAAACATATTGAAGCAACTAGGGTCTTCAGTGCTCACACACTGTTTTATTAACAACCCTGAAGCCTAGGTAAAGATGGGGAGGGATGCCTCAGAAAATTGATGTTCCTGGCAATGTGAGCATTTAACCTTTTTCATGATGATTTGAGACTGTGTCTATCTTTAGAATGATTCCAGAGATAAGGTCGTGGGAGGTATGGCAGGAACAATTTTTCTGTGGGTCGCATTCGGTAGAAAAGATAGGAGTTGAACATTATTACATCATATACGTTTATGCAAAAAACCACTTTACATGTAGCAAGTAAAACTTCTCTGTCTAGCACATGAGAAAAAAATAATCCTTGATGGGTTAATTGAAGATTTTGCTACAGAAACCCTACAAAACACATGAAAAGAATCTGCAATTCAAGACTACTGTTTAGCAGAGATACCCTGATAAAGGGTTTCATCCAGCAATAGGCAGCTGACAGAGCCAGAGGTGGCCAGAGAAAAAGCAGCAAGGGGCTGAGACTGTAATAGAGAATATAAGCAATTTGCCCCACTTTGGAGGATCTTGTGTTATTATCATTGTATTTTGGGGTTGGGATGGCACAGAGTCTTCATTCACAGTCCTATCAAGCCTTGTTTGTGAACTTAATACCTCAGGCTTCTGATATACATTGTATCGGACTACAGAACCTGAAAATTAGAATGGTGCAGTCAGGTACCTTAACTTTAGGGAATAAAAGGTTTTGTTGCTCTGCAATGAACTGTTCCTGCTCCTGCAGCATCTTCTCAGTCAGCTGCTTCATATGCTCCCTGTAACTCTTTTTCTTTTCTTCCATCATCAACTGATGCTTCTTTTGCATTTCTTTCAGTTCTCTGTTTGCAGCCTCAGCAGCTTCAGCCTTTATACGTTCCTCTAAGAAAAGAAAAAGCAAGGAACATGAGAAGTGAAATCTGTAAACTGCTTTTGTCTATAGTCACTTTGGGGACCAAAAAATCCTATCATGGACAGAAATTTCCTGTGGAATCTTTGCCCTATAAAAGCAGTTGACAAGGATGGAGATGGACACATCTAATATTTTTAAAACAGCACCACGAAGCTAAGAGAGACATTTGTCATCTTTCTCTGTAATGACAACCTCATATGTCAACAGTCCAAGAATAAGAATACAGAACTATAGGTTGCAGAAATAGGAATCTAGAAATAAAGAAATACAAAGTTATAAACCTAGGAGAATGAGAGCAGACTGTTGGCAGCTCTCTCAGCAACTTAAGGATTAACTATTGACAGTGCATTACCTTGTTTTCAACTGGCAGCTCTGTCTGCAAGACTGAAGTGGCCCTCTGCAAACTGAGGGGGCCTCTGCAAACTGAAGGTCAGCTTTTACATAACCCCCTGGCCACTCATGACCAGCAATTGATGAGAGCTGAGTTACCTTTTCAATGACGGGATGTATGTGACTTTTGGTTTTGCCTTACCCCAACGCTTCCTGCTATGCAAAACTGTTAGTGTCAGGGAAGTGCAGAGCTTCAGTAAATACCATGGAAAAGTGCCAGAAAGAAACAATGGACTAAGTACAAACACTAGTTTAATGGAAAATCCTGTTAATGGAAAAGAGTGGGGAAAAAAGAAAAGAATTTCCAACATCTGTACCCTTCTCAGCAAGCAGCTCTCACCTTCAATCTTCTTTTCCTTTTCTGTGAGTGACTGATCCATCTTTAGAAGTGTTTCAGTGACACTCTTCTTGGACTCAAAGTACATTTTCAGCATCTTTTCAGCCTACATGCAAAAAGAAATTAAAATGAGGAAATAAGAATGTAAACTGAAGACAAATCATGTCATACATCTAATTCAATTTAATGCTACCAGCTATAAACACATACCTTGTGATTCAAACAGTATTTCAAGTTTAAGGTTTTAAAATCGACCTGAGGTCCCATCAGACTCAACCATTTTCTGTTGTTCAAACTTTACTACTAACCGGTGACTCCATTCATCTAGTTGTATCTTTGATGTCTTATCTCTCTGAATGCTTTTATTCCATTTGTTATCATCAGCTAATAACATTGATTTTTTGGCTTCAAAATGTGTTTTTTTTTAAATTGAGAAATTTTTGTTACACAATATATTCTGATCACATGTGCTCTTCCCCCAAGTCCACCCAGATCCTGCCCATCTCATACCCACCCAACTCTGTAACTTTTCTTCTACCCCTCTTTATATACAAACAAGTAAACAAAAAAAATCCCAAAAAAGAAAAGAAGAAAAATAAAACTGGAAAACTCACACACACACACACACACACACACACACACACACACACACACACATAAGAAAAAAACACTAAAACACAAAAGTAGAAACTATAATACCAGAAAAGGACCAATAAGATTTTTTAATGCCCTAACAAAAACAATATGGCACAGAAAGTTTACAATAATACCACTGAGTTTGTTTTGTTTTAGTTCTGTACTTCCCGACATGGGGCCCACCTTGAAGTGCTAACTAGGAACTTTTATTGGCCATCTGCTCCTTCCAAATCTGCTGTCCTGAGACCTTTTCTCCTGCCAGAATGACTGCTTCAGTTCATTCTCCATCCAGAAGTTTGTCTTAATAGTTCAAGGAGGATTGGCTCATTTACTTGAAGGCTTAGTCACAGAATGTGAAAATATTTAGGTAGGATTAGAAGGACCGGCTTTGTTGGAGTCGGTGTGGCCTTGTTAAAGGGAGTCTGTCACAAGAGCTGGCACTAAGGCATGAAAGTCCATGCCAGGCCCAGTGTGTCTCTCTGGGGCTGCTGCCTGCAGCTCAGGATGTAAAGCTCTCAGCTGCATTTCCAGCACCATGCCTGGCTGTGTGCCATGATACTCCTCATCATGATGATAATGAACTAACCCTCTGAAGCTGTAAGCAAGCCCCAAATTAAATGTTTTCTTTTAATAAGACTTTCCTTGGCCATGGTGTCTATTCACATCAATGGAAGAGTAGGTAAGACAGTGATGCTTAAACCCCTGCTGACTTTCTAACTTAGCCAAATAAATATCAGGTCTTTTTAGTATCCTCCAAGGCAGCCACTGCCTTCTCCAATTTCTGGCCTCTCACATTGTAGCATGATAATATTTTCTTTGGCACCAACTAAACAGAACATTTAAAAAGCATCAATTTACCCTTATGGAATGTTCCTGGTTTCTAATATTTCAATTTTCTTCACAGCTACTTGTCTCTATTCTAACTACGTTTTCTGCTGAACTTTCTTGTTGCCTCATATCAAGGGCAAAATATACTACTTTATATATATTATTCTTTGTACAGCAGGAGTAGGACTAAATTTTAGTTAAAATCACATAATTATATGATCACTAGCAATGGCTTCAGAGCATGAATATGACCTGGAAAAACTCACCATATACTAAGGTTCTAGAGCACAACAACGGAAAAGACCTTGAACCCAGAACACAAACAAGTCATTAGAGTAACTGGGTTCATTCTGCTCATTTCTTGTGGACAAAAGGCAAGAAATATATAGCACCTTTAAATCCATTAATGTTCAAAAATAATATGTAGTTAAATCTATTCTTACCTGTCATTTCCTAAGTAGAGCAGTTTAGAGCCGTTAAAGGCAAAACTCTGTAACCTGGATTTTCATTCAGACTGTAGTTGACTCGTTGACTATGTGATCCTGTGTGAGGTCTTAACTAACTTCACTGTACCACAGCTCCTTTTCTTTTTATGAGATAATGATAATTAATACTTAGTAGAATTGGTATCAGAACTCAGTGTGTTAACTTTTACAAAACAGTAGGTCAATCTATGTGTCAACTGCCATTACTACCATTATTGCTAGTCTGTGGGCTAGCATCACCTTGTGGTTGTGAGGAAGAACTTTGTAGTTAGTTCTGGTTTGGTTTGTTTATTCCACAAATTACTGTAACTCTAGCACCTGAGAAGTACTCAAAACATCAGAAAAATAAATATCTGTGAGATGATTAGATAAATAAATGCAGGAATGAATGAATTCCACAAACAAAATTGTACTCCCAAGGAGGAAACTGCTGTCTGTATCTTGATTGGCTCTCTGTGGATGGATGTAAGACAAGGGGACTCTCCACCAACGCCATTGCATCTTTCTTGCTCTCACTAGCATTTGAGGGATAGTCTACACCAGCCTCCCAAAATGGTACCAGCTAACTCAGTTTACCTGAAGCCCCTTTCCAGGAGCCTGGTTATAATTTTTCTCCAGCGCTTGTTTCCTTTGAAGAAATAAATAGTAACCTCCTGGTTTAGAAAATGTTCCCTGTTTCATTTCTTCTTCCAGGGGACCAAAGACATCCTGCAGCAAATCTGAGCAATGAGCTGATGACACATCCATGTTTTTCTTAACAACTGCATCTCGCCTGGCTTCTAGAAGGTCCTGGATAAGAACAAAATACACAGATGGTTGAGAGGAGGGTAATAACATAATAGAATACCGGAGAATGTCTAAATGGGGCTCTTCACCTCACTGTAAGATGTCATGGTGTCCCTGCAGAAACTGGTCCCTCAGTTTGTGATTTCCTGAAGGAACGTCCTTGTTCCCCTCCTGCTGCCCACCTTCCTGATTTAGGATGTAACTATCAAAGCACAGACACCACTTCATAGGAAACCTTTGTCTTTTCAAATCTCTAATGTTAGGGATAGTTCATATCAGGCTACTGTAGGAATTCCTGATTCTACCACTCTGTTATTTTGAGTTCTTAACGTTAGTTCATGGACTGATGATCTCTTGGCTCTGAAACAGGATGAGCAACTCCAGTTTCAGGGGTCTTTAGTCCAATTATGATGTAAAGCAGAGCATTAAGGCCAGAGGCTTTGTAGAAGTACTAAGAAAAAGAAAAAATGTTTTTTGTTATTGTAACACTTTGTTTGGTTTTAGTCACTGAAATGGTAAAGAAATGTGAAGGTGATGATGATGATGATGATGATGAATATTTCTCAACATTCAGAAATAATAATGGAATAGAATATTTACATACATTGCTTCTTGAAAGTAATTTAGAAATTTAGATGACTATTTCCTACTGACATTGACTATCTAGCTTCATTATATCCCTTGACCTCAACTATATTTCCAAACTATCAGTAAAATTTTGGCTTGCTAATGAGGAAGATGATCGTCATTGACCAAATATTCATGTGTTTTTATAATAAAGAGGACGAAATATTGTGGAAAATGTGGTTATTGCTTTCTTTTATATCAAAGTCTTGCAGAATCTAGTCTTTGAGTAGCCATTGCAAATCTGTGCATGTCATGGGATGTCACTGTGTTAGAGATTAAAGACAATTCTCATCCCAGAAAAGGCCCATGTGTTTCTTTCTTGTGATTTTGGGTATCACACATACGTTTAATTGCCTCTGGAACTTTTGGTCTACATCCTTGAAAGAATTCTTCATGAAGATCTCAATGGCCTTGTTCTCAATAGGCCTGAGCAAGTCCAGCAGCTCCTGGAGGGTTTCCATAGGCAGCTGAATCTTATGGTTCACCTGGTCTTCATAGTACTCAATGGCCTTTTGCACTGCAGCTGAGTTTTCTTTCTGGGCCAAAGCCAGAACAGCATTCTCCACGCAGGGTAGTTCTCCACTGCGGATGGCATTGACATAGGTCGCTACCAGGCTCTGTAGAACTACATAAAGGAGTTTAAAATGACTGTTAATTGCTGGACAGAGTACATAATTTCAGGATTTTTCTGAGAAATAACATCAAGGGAATAAAATATTAACCTCTAGATCAGGAGGATATTGAAGCCTGTTTTTACTGCTTCTACATTTATCCCAGGGATAACTTTGTATTGAAATGATCATAACAAGTTAAGAATGGCCTGAGACACTCTGACTACTCATTATATCACTCTTCCTTTTCTATTCCTTTCCCATTATCTTTCCTTTCTCTCTTATTAAATGGCCAAAAAGGAAAACTTTCTCCTCTTTACCTCTTCTTTTGTTGCTGCTGCATATTTTTTCTCTTTCGTTTTCTTTCTCCCTTCCTCTCTCTAATTTTAGTGGCACATGTTACTAGTTCTTTTTCAATACTATGCAAATGGCTCCATCCACTTTTTTTCGCAAAAGCTATAGTATAACCAAGACATCTAGGTTTCCCCCAAGTTTTTGCTGTTTATAGGCCTGAAGACACCACATCCCAAGAACCAGTTCTCAGATGATTTAGAGCAGTTTTAGGCCCTTCCTGCCCAAAAGTTCTCTATGAGTGCATCCTGTATGTTTATTCCTGTTTCTATAGTTGAAATGAGTCACAAAATACAACATGAAAGAAGTGGTGAGCTTCAATCTCAGGTGATATATTTATAGGTCCTTCTTAGTCCTACCACACTGTCATATTTTATTATAATGAAAAAACTTTTGTATTTTATATCAAAATATATTAGTGGATATCTTACTTTGACAATTTCTACTTCTATAATTTGAGCCTAACCTAATGACCATTTAACTCTACTCCATCAAGCAGAGAGTACATCTTCTCAGTCTGTTACTTTTAGAACTGAAAAGTATCACATGCAAAATACTGCAGACTTATATGTATAACTAGAGACCATCCCACAAAACTTGGAGCCAACTATAGATTCCTTTAGTCACATTTCTGATCTATCATGACATCACCACTCCATCGTGGCTATGGTCCCATACTTCTCCAATGAGAGACACTCCTTGCATTCTCTGCTTTCAGTCACATAACTCTTACTTCCCTAAAGCTGAAAAGTTGTGTCTGGCCTTAGGACTTCCTCTATGTATTAGTTCCATATGTTGCTTTTTTGTGACTTTGAGGTAACCTGTTCATTAGTAGGGATCATGAGCAAAGAAAAATTGTGTCTAGGGCTTCCTTAGATTCCAGTGACCCCTCCATTGTTATCACTGGTATGAGACTGTGAGAAGTGGATTTAGTTCCCAAGTAAATCCCATATTTTCAGTGACAGTATCCTACAAAAGATGAGCAAAAGAGAAGCCCCTTTAGGCAGCAGAGGGGATGACTTACGTGTCCCATTGACTATGATGCCACCAGACAGAATCTTGACATTGGCAGAGCTGAAGATGTATGAGGTGAATTCTCTAACTTGTTTTACAAATTCTTCACTCAGATCTTCCTCTGGAATTGTCTCTAGTTTGGAAAGATACTTCTTCTGAGCAGGCCTGACAAAGACGAAGCACTTCCTCTTTGGAAAGAACTTCCTGATGCATAGCCGAGAATCATTTAAATTTTTAGGTGTCTTATCAGTTTCTTAAGGAAAGATAAATAGGTAAATTAAATTTCAAATAAATTACTGAAAATGCATGACCCTTTCAGTATTATAACTCTCCCAATTTAAGGAAAATGTGATAATACGGGATAAGCAATGCAAAAATTAAGGACGAGAAAGAAAACCCCCTTTCTCTAAGAAGTACTGGATGGTACAGTTCAAATTCAGGCAGCTGTTTTTTCCTTTGCCATAACAGCACTGAGGAAGCCACAATTATAGGATCAAGAACTTTCCTTATTAAGAATGCAGGAGTGACCTCATACTATTGTTATCATTATATCTACAGCTTCCATTGAGACCATTTACCTTTTTTCAGAGCCAATGAATTCTCCAGGTACTCATCAGGAGAGACAGGCTTTCCATTATCTTCCAGCTCCAGGGAGAAATCCCTCAGAGTCCACACAAAGTTTGGAAAGAAGCTCACAAAGTTAGCTGAGTCATCTATGCCGCACTGCTCAGGTGTTGACTTTGATTTGATTCGATCAGCCAGCTCTGTCACATAGCTGGGATGCTAAGTTAAGAAAACTACAGGGAAAACGTCATTTTTATGATGTTGATTCCACCACTACTCATCAAACTAACTTATATTTTCTTGTTACCTTATTCATTTTCAACAGTCACTCAGTCACAAACATCTATTAAATGTCTTCTAAGGAACAAGCACTATCCTGGGGACAAAATTCTAAAATAGAGAGAGAATGGCTACACACAGAGCATATGTCTGCCTGAAAGAGACAGAAAATAAATAAGTGAATGGAAAACAAAAGAAATCATCATATAATTCTAAGAATTGTGATGCAAAAATAATGAACTCAGTCCATGAAATAGTGAATCAATGCACACCTCTTTATGGGGCATGTGCACGTCGAGAGCTTCAAAGGGCTACTGTGCTCTCTAAGGTTCTAAGTTATCAGGAATCTCAATGAATCAACAGGTATAACCATGGGGAGCTTAGTAGAATAATTCTACACACAAGGTCACATCACTTCTAAACCCTTAACCAGGAAACTTGATTCTATAGTGAGTTTAAGTCAGGATTGCCAGTATGTTGTAGCAGAAGGCCCAAAAGACGTACATGTGGGACATTCAAGTTAGACAGACCCAAGTCTTCAGTTTTATTTTCACTAAATGGAAGGCGCTAGTAGACTTTATGTAGAGAAGAAATGACCCAGCATCATTTCTGAAGATCACAATGGCTAGCAATGTACCTGGGAGTCAAAAGTATAAGCAAAGAGTAATTTGGCAGTTGACATGTCCAAGACAAAACTCAAGGAAAGCTTAGACTGAGTGTTTTTGTGGAAGATATGAGGAGAGTGTGTCAGTCTAGGGAAATAGGTTTGCTAATGGAACTGAGAACATTTCTGGAATAGTTATTTCTAGAGTAGTAGATAATGGTTGTGTCAAGTGAATACTATATTTTAAATCTGCACAAGTTTGCAAATGATGAGAAATTTTAATGTAATAAGAACATGGAGGAAGGAAAGATTTTGTATATTTTGACTTGAATCGTCTCTTAGATATCTACATAAAGGCAGCTAAATGCAAAACATTGAATGTTGTCATTATTGTTCTTTTTAAAAATAATACCATGGTGGGATGTCCCAGGCAGCTCGCGGAGCAGCTGCAAGTGGCAGCGCCATGCGGCCGGGGAGTCAGGGTCCCCGGGAGTGCGGCAGACTCAGGCGGTGGACGGCAGAGTAAATGAACATAAGGCTATACATAAAGCTAGACATTTATTACTTAAAGAAAGGAAAACATAGACAAACATAGAGAGAACAAAGACACATACACATACACACACACACACGCACACACACACATGCACACACGCACAGAGAGAAGATGGCTGCGGGGGAGTTCCAAAAGTGGCTGGGGTGGGCATGGTTAGTTCTTAAAGTGTCCCAAAGTAATAACAGTCATGACTATAAACTTGAGGACAACTGTCACATAGATGACCCAGAAGGCCTTGAGGTTAAATGGCAGCTCCTAGAAACACAAAGTAAAACAAGGGTAGCAGAGGCACAGCTACTGAGTTATACACTTAGAGGCCACAGAAAGAAGAGAATGTAAACAGAAAAAGTTTACTAGTGAGGTGGATCGAATACCAGAAATCATAGAAACTCTAAATCTAAGGATCAAGTCACTCAGAAAGAGGAAGAGCTCAGTTTGTAACATCCGCTACAAAACCAAATAATATATTAACCCACCGGGTAAAGGAGTTTATTGAGCTCAATATTTGATGTCAAGGTCATGGGAATGGAGCAAGCAGTGACAATGACATAGATGAGGTCAGGATGGAAACAGAGGAAGAAGGGAAGGGAACAGGATACCACATGTAAAGAGTGTCTTCTGGTTTCTAGTCTTTAAAAAGTTAGTAGAGCTTTATAATTTTTGCCAAAAAATGTTGTGTTGAGTAAATGATTGAAAAAATAAAACACTGGACATTAAAGTACTGTGCTCTGAAAGCCCGTGCTTCAGAGACTCTGAGAGTGGTTTTATTGATAGAAAGAATGAGAAAGTGCTGCACAGTCTAAACAGGAGGAAGAAGCATGGCTGTCTATTCTATGGTTCCATAGCTTGCAAAGTGTGAGCTAAACAAACAAAAGAACCAACAACAATACCTCAGAGCCCCTGAGAGGTTGCAGGATATATCACTGATGACGTGTACCTGGGTAGTTAAATGGTGTTACTTAGAGATGCTGGTAGGAATGCTGATTCGCAGGAACATATGTTTTAACAGATGTTGAGGATTTGGACAAACATGGGATATTAATGCAAATATGGATTTTCTGAGTAGTATGTGGCTGTGTTTTAGACCAGATGGGCCAGGAAAATTTGAACTTGTCATGACCAAGATACACTAGATTGTACGGAGAAAGGGATTATCTAAATCCCTTAGTCCTTACTTGCCTATTTCATGAAATAAGAAGCTGCTCTTCCTAGGTTTACTACTGTTCTAGACCACACTCAAAGGATATTGCAATTGGTCCATGGCCTCCTGGTTTATGGCTTCTAGGCTGTTGTAGATTAAGGTGCTGCTGAGGAGGACCGCCAAGGCAAAGATCCAGCAGTCATTCTCGTTGTCTTCCTACAGGCCAGTGAGTGAAGAAGAGTAACTAAGAGACTGTGCATCAACTCAAGTAGCCAAAGATGAGCCCGTGTCTGTCTCCCATCAACTTTGGTATCAAAAGTAAGTCACTCATTTTACATAATAATTTATTACTGTACAATGATTTTATGAATGTTCAATTCATGCTCTGTAATTTAAATATAATGATGTACATCCATGTAAAAGAGAGCATGAAGGAAATTCACACGTAAAAGTCATAATGGTGAACAGTGACTAAACTCTAAACTGGAGTTTACATAATATGTTCATTCACAGAACATATTATGGTAACGGACTGTCTTAGTCAGGGTTTCTATTCCTGTAAAGAGACACCATGACCACAGCAACTCTTAGAAAGTAAAGTCTTTATTGGGTTGCAGCGTTCAGAGGTTCAGTCCATTATTATCATAGTAGGACATGGCAGTGTGCATGCAGACATGGTGCTGGAGAGATAGCTGGGAATTCTACATCTTACACAGGCAGCAGAAAGTGGTCTCTGACACTGGACATGGCTTGAGCATATATGAGACTTAAAAGAGCGCCTCCACAGTGATACATATCCTCCAATAAGGCCACACCTAATCAAAAAGTCACACCTCCAAATAGTACCAGTCCATTGCAAGAGGGTGAAGCACATTTTCTTTCAAATCATCACAGGGACATTTTAGCACTAGTGAAAGTAATGTGCTTCAAGAGACTTTGTGTCTCTAAGACTGGAGGAGGTGCAATGTGATTCTCTATGAAAAATAGTGTTATTGCACATTGTGGTGTTTGCAAGACAATGACCCTCATAGGCTCATATATTTAAATGCTTGGTCATCATGGATGGACTGGGAAAGTTCGAGAGAATCATAAGGATTAAGGGATGAGGCCTTGTTGTGTCGTTTGGGGTGGAATTTAAGGTTTCAAAAGCCCATGGCAAGACTACTCTTTCTTTCTCTCTGTGTGTCTCTCTCTGTCACTTTCTCTTTCCTGCTGCCTAGGGATCAAGATGTAGCTCTCAGCTACCTCAGCTACTGCTGCAGTACCATGCCTGCCATGCTGCTGCCTTGTTCCCTGCCAGGTGATAATGGACTAAGCCTCAGAAAGTGTAAGCAAGCCCATAGTTAAATTCATTTTTTAAAAACATAAAGTAACCCTGTTCGTGGTGTCGGTTCACAGGAATAGAGTGCTAAAAATCTTGGTTTTCTCTCACTGATAACACTATATAGGAATTATAATTCTTAGCATTTCCACCATCTTACACTTATGAATCAGGCATGTTCAAAAAATGAATAGCCAAGTTAAGAGAAAAGCAGCAAAAAAAATTGTCCCTTATTACTATGAAGACTGGCTGACTACTAATCAGTTGACTTTAATGTCTACTATTAGATCCTATGTCAGGTGAGTTGAAGAATGATATTGAAATTAGATTCATCAGGACTGTAAATGAAAGATTTAGGAGTGAAGAACACAAGGTGAGCTACTGACACAACATGAGTAGAATTTGAAAGACTATGTTGTACCTTCGCTACATCTCCAAGACCCTCAGTATCCAGCAGAACTAGAGTGTGTCCTGGTTTCTGAGGATGAGGCACACACCACATCCAGATCCCTTTGGTGTGAGACGGCTCTGTGGAGCCCAAAGAGAAGCCTGTAGAGTGGGGATGAAATGGGGGGATAAACAGAACATGCTTCATGAAATCTCATTGAAATTAACATATTTACCACTTACAGGAGCCCAATTAAAATATTTGTCACTAACAGGAGCCAAATTAACATTTTTACCACTTACAGAAGTCCAAGAAGTTACAAGTATTGCTTTTAAATACAAATCTAGAAAAAAGAAGGACAGAACATTCAATGCTGATCAGCCATTCATTCCGACCTTAGACATCAGTGGTCACTTGCTTTTCATAGATAAACACTCTAATAAATATTTTATACTTCATGATAAAGCAAGTTGACTTTCTCTATGAATGTATTATTTCTTCTATTAAAACACTCTTGTATCTTTAAATAAGGAACTAATGGGAGTGTGGGAGGAACCAGTGAGAAGACCAATTCAGAAAAGAGCAAGCCCATTGATGGACACAAACCATCCCACATCACCCAGGTCTCTGACTGTTTCTCCTCCCTTCTGCTTGCTGGATGCTGACAGTGGGAGAGGGCGGGGGCAGGAGGACTCAGCAGAGCTTTGATGATGTCACTCACCTTTCTGCTTCCCAGCCAGTTTGTTCATCAGGTAGGATTTTCCTGTGCGATAAGAGCCAACGATTGCTACCACCACCACAGGCTGCTTGATAAAGTACAGGATGTCCAGTGCTTCCTGGTTGGCCACCAACTCCTGATCAGAGTTCTCGATGAGGCACACTGGGCCTGGCATGTTGATTTCTGAGGCCATTTCCACAGTACTCTTATGTCTGTAAGAAATGATAAAACAGGAAAAAGTTCTGTGTCAGTTAGAAGAACTCACCAACGATGTGGGCCTAAGGATGCAATTGTGTCGTGCATACCTTTGCTGGGAACCTATACAAGTACCTGATGCTAATGAGGCCACAGATCTTAGAGGAGACCCTACTACTGCCATCTTACTCAACCAGCAACATCTTAACTGCATTTTAAATATTTATCTTTATACCACAGAGAAATACAGCTCTGATCCCTTATCCCACGGAAATAACTTCAAAAAGTTATGAATCAAAGCTCAGAGAACAAGTTATTCTCTATTACCCAGGCCCAGTTGATCCATCTATAACATAACTCCTGTACCTAAAGGTCAGGGAACATTATAGACGGGGAATAGGGGTGAAAAAAATTAAGAGTCAGAAAACCAGGAAGTCTGGTGTGACATTGAGGCTCCTAGAAATGACAGGGAAGCTACAAAGTCGCAACAAATTGCCTGCCTAACAAGGTTGGAAGAAGTACACCAGTAACCAACATTGAAGAGGAAAATCTCATGGGGCCTGAACCCTAAACAAAGCATTACGGGCAACGAAAAATTTCTGAAATTGTTATAAATAGTCTTCCCCCTCAAGAACTGCTCAGTGGCTTATCCAATACCAAGTGGTCAGTCCTGAAATCATGTACATCCAAGTAACATTATAAAAATGAAGCAGATTGTGCTTACAGATTTAGGAATGTGTGTGTGTGCATGTCTGTGTGTGCATGTGTGGGTAGGTGAGTGTGTTTGTATCAAGAATTCAAAAAAAAAAAACATGCCATGGATTTGAGAGAAACCAAGGATGACTCATTCATGCCTTGAAAGTAAGTAATGGATAGCCAAAAGTGTTACAGTCATAAATATTTCCACTAAAATAGAAACAGGTCAAGACGAACACAAGTTCCATTAGTTCATGAAACTATGCTAGAAGAGCTGAAAATTCTTAAGAGAGTATAATCACAAAAGAATTAGAGCAAAGGAGGGGGAAGAACAGAAACAGTTTCACATTAGAGAACACAGGAAGGAATACATTTCATGGCAGCAGCAGATGAACAAAAGACAAGTAAGTGGTGAAGAATTAATCATCTGTGACCCTTCATACCCAACACTATGGAGAGGAGAAAAGTCGCACACTCCATAGCAGCAAACAAGATCATGAATAACAGCAAAACCCTTCTTAACTATGACGTTAAATGTGAAGGACCTTGGTCTGCAAGTTAAAAGATACAGACTGAATATGTTCAACATATTATAATATTAATTATAAGAAAAATGCAAAGAAAACCTAATTTGAAATTCTATTTCATCTACTCAGAAGTACTATCATTAGAAAGCCAAAAAAAGAGGGGTTTGTATTCGCTAGAGCATTTACTACTTCCAGATTGCTCCACAAAAGTCCTAGCCTGACTCTGTCCTGCTTCCTGTCTCATTCAGGGGAGAGGACATAGAGGCCAGCCAGGTTTGTGATCAGAACATTTCCCATTGAACCATGCACCCAGGAAGCTGACAAGCTGATAGCTTGAATATAAAAATATGAAAATAATTCCTTTTAGTTATGTGTGTGTGTGTGTGTGTTTATCACACATTTGTGGATGCCCACGAATGCTAGAAGAAGGTGTCAAATAACCTGGAGATGTAGTCGCAACAGTTATGAACTGCCTATTTGAGTGCTGGAAACCAAACTTGGCTCCTCTCGAGGAGGAACAAGGCCGAGTTGTGCAGCCATAAAATTGGAAGAAGACAATAATATTGGCCCAGGAATGTGTCTGCAGAAAAGTTCATAATCCCATGCATTGTCAATGGGACCAGGGTCTGTTTTCCGTGCACCAAGTTGCCCCAGCTTTGTTTTTTCAGAGATGTGCTAACTGGTAACAATGAGAATGAGAATCTTTATGCAGCAAAGATTATTTAAGAAGCATCCAGGTGGAGGACAATGAACCCTGAATCCTGAGGTCCTCTCTGGACTCCACTGGCTGAAATCTATTGAGCAGAGTGGAAACAGGGGCACTGCATGGACAACTTCCCTCCTCCCCACAAACCCTGGATGAAAAGTGCACTGCTGACCCACATCCAGAGTGCAGCATCCTCCTGTGGAGAGGTTGTTTCACAGGTAAACAGCAGTGTCCTGGAAGCCTTTCCACCCTGGTCCCCTGACTCACCTGGAGCAGGAATCCTTCTGCTTTGGGAAGAAAGTAGTTGAGAGGAAAGTTAAGGGCACTAGGCTTCCTCAGTCCTGAATCTGGATCCACTAATTTATCCCTTCTTGCACATGGACTTTACCCCTCCAATTTTCTGGCAGTACAGAACATTAGCAAATATTTTCTGCTAAGGCAGCTAAACGAGAGGTACTTTAGCAACGACATTTATAAAGGAGAAAAGTGAAACTAAAAGCTCTCATGGGTGACTGGCAGAATTCAGGGAGAGTGTTCACTGACAGATAAATGTCATCATGTTTCTCAGAATTCTCCAGTTGAAAGAGAGCTAAGAACCTGCTGATAGTGGGGGTGGGATGGTTAGATTTGAAGCAATACCTTGTTTCCCATGTTTGGGAGCCAGTTTGACAAGCGTAGGAATAAGAATGCCTCATATGATATTATTTTGGGTTTATTTGCTTGCTTCGAACACTAAAGTCACAGAGGATTTAGTTACTCATGCTAACTCATCACAGACTGTAAGAACTCTGAGACAGAGCCCACGTTTATACAGTTCTGAATGCTGTAAACCAAACTCCTTTCCTAGAACTTGGTATTGTAGAACAACAACAAAAAAATAATGAAGAAAGCTGCCATATGTACATTTGTGAGATGCAAAAGCTTTTTAGCAGAGATAATACCATCGAATTCTCACAAATACTATTCTTGCCACAAATAAATTTAATAATTCATTAAAATAGCAGGATCACTAAGCAAAATTTGACGGGAAAAATCTCTTGTTCATCTATACATACAAACAGACATACCTACCTGCATCCACACACACATGTGCACACACACACACACACACACACACACACACACACACACGATATTGAGATAAAGACACCACACTGAGTTATCATAAGTTGTCCAAACTTAAAGTGTCAACACCACTCCAAATAAAGGAAAGTCAAAAGTTTTCAAAAATGTTTTGAAGCCAGTATAGTACTCTGTCCCTTTATTTTGTTTCCTGCACACTCAACCATGGTTTGTCTCTAATATTACTCTACTACTTGTTTTTCTTTACTATAAATTTTAAAGGGCTTTGCTTTATTTCTCCATCTTGCAGTCATCTCGTTCTGCATAGAAATAGTTTCATTACAGAGTCATCACACTTATGCTTGCTTTTTTTCCCTTAATAATATTTTTCTTCTTTTCATTTTAAAAAAATTTGATTTCCATCTAATTTCCCTTTAGGTTTTTCCTTCCTCAATTGCATTCGTTTCCCAGTACTACATTTACTCTAAACAACAATACAGTTGAAGAGTTCTAAGGAGCATACCACAGAGCACCTTTGCACACCCATGTTTATTGATGTGGTAGACACAGCAGTCAAGTTATGGAAGCTGCCACGATATTCTCCAACAGGTGAGTGATAAAGGAGGTGTGCACACACATAGCAGGGATTTAGGAAAATGGACGGAACTGTAGCTTATTGTGTTACAAGAAATCAGACAAATATCTCATGTTTCCTCTTGTATATGGTATTTGTTATGATATACATGCTTATGATACGTATGGCACAGAAGTAGGGTGGAGAAAGGAAGAAGATAGTGAGAGGAGGAAAGAGGATAAAGCTGTGGGAGAGGAAACAAGGTTAGATAACAGAAGGACAAGAGATGGATAAAACCAATGCTTCTCTACTCTAGACTGTTAAAGAAAGAGGGAAAACTACATTAAACGGGTGAGAGAAATGGCTGAAAGTGAAAGTGGATCTGAAGTTCTCTGAAATGTATCTAAATGCTAGAAACCAGATGTTGTTTTCTCTAGACTAGTAAAACCTGTTAGCAATAGATAACCCAAAACTGCTTGCGTCTTGAATGTTTGAGACTCTTGTAGAAATTAAGGACAAATAAAAATGAGTTCTTCTGTTTCTTAAAAGTTTAAATGTCCTCTTTGTAGCATGTTTCTTGAGAGATGACTATATCATTATCCTTTCTCTAAACTACTAAGTATAAATAAAATTTCCCAACAGCTAAGGAAAACCATAGGCATCTTCACATTCACAGTGTTTGAGTGTCCTAGAATAGTGACAGCTGGGGCACATTGTGATTACTAAGGCATTGGCCTTGACGTTGTCCAACAATGACTGGTTCCTGATAGAAGGGTCAAGGATCCAGAAGTTACTCAGTCCGAACAGTCCCAATGGTCTTGACCTGAGTCAGAAATGACCTCTATAACCAATTGTACTATACTTGGCATCCCATTTTGCATCTTGGGCTTGTTATGATGAACTCTTCTTAGGAGAAAACTGTTACTCTCAGAGGCAGCAATGACCTTGATCTGAGTCCAGCCTGAACAGAGACAAAAGCAGCTTTGGTTTCAAGCTCAGCAGAGCCAAGCTTCCTAGAATCTTCTCCACAAACTCCATCCCTCTGTATTAGGAACTGCTACACGGTAGAGCTCAGTGCTGTCTGTCACTGAGAAGTCACTCACACATCTGTCATGTCTGCAATCATATGTACCCTCTATCCTTCATTTTACTTTCAAATGTGCTAATTTTATTTGGAAAATATTAAGATATGTTCATTATATTTAGTACAAATGAGTGAGATTCACTTGTGTGTGACCACCCTCTACGCTTCTGCTCTCACCACTCCCAACTTCACTCACGTTGTCTACTAATCAGTTTCCTAGTTTCAGATTAACTACATACAGTGCAATAGTCCCCAAGGTAAACACATTGTGCTTTGTCTAAAGGAAGGAACAGAAAAGTTGGCCGTGTAGGAGCCCACTATCATCAATTTTTTGTATTTCATATACTTTAAAATTTTAATTCACTGGCAATTTCACACATTTATATGATATGTTTTTATCATATTCCTCCCTCCAACACCCCTTCTTGACTTCCTCTCACGCAGCATTCACCCCACTTTTGAAATGAAAATGTCATTTTTCATTTTTGGTTCTGCTTTGTGACCCACTGGGTTTAAACAGGATCACTTGTGTGGGTAAGAAGTGGAAGGCAGTCAGTGGAGCATGAATAATTCAGCAGAGGCTGCAGGACCAAAGATTTTCTCTCCAGCAGCTCTCAAGAACCAATAGGTTTCCTGGGCAGGGATGACTCAATGAGCCCCTTCTCTACCTGTAACTGTAGTGGAATTCCAACTGTGTTTTAATAAATAAAGCTTTTTTCTGAAGATCTGAGAGTAAATCAGCCCACTGGTCAGTCTTACAGACCAGGTAATGATGGCATACACCTTTAATTTCAGTAACCACACTAGTTGCCACAGACCAAGTGGTGCTTGCCTTAAGTCCCAGTGGTGCAGGTCTTTAATCTCAGAACTAGAGAGGGTTATAAAATGGGAGGGAACAGCTCTCAGATATAGTGTCATTCTGAGATTCCTAGAAACAGGCTCACTATTTCAAACTGAGGACGAGGTAAGAGCTAGTGACTGAGTACTTTGCTTTTCAGATCTTCAGGTTGAACCCTAATATCTGTCTCTGAGTTTTTATTATTTGTGCTTCATGTGATCAAATGTCTATGGGTTCAGTCTTGTGTGAATCCTATGTTGGCAACCACAGGTGCATTGAACTTATGAATTTCATGGTCTTGTCATAATCACTGGACAGTTTTACGTGACCCCCATCCTCAGTGTCTGGCTATGACATTCCTTGAACACCCTTTGTGGGAAAATAGGGTAGCCTCTGGCCTGGGGTAGTATTCCCCATGCCAACTAGAAATGTTACTGATGAAAATGGTCCTTCTGTTTGGATAAATCAGCAAGAGGAACTGTCATCCCAGCTCTCTAGCCACTGCCTGCCTGCACATACACAACGCTGCTTCCTTCGTAATTAAGTAATATTCTTGTCAATATTTTTATGCAGTGGACACTTTTGTTGATAAAACATAAAGTTTTCCTGAAATACAGGTTAATTTTATATCATCTTTCCAACCCTGTCCTGAAGAAGAAATTTGTTGGCTCCTCTAGAAAATTTGTATGTGTTGGTTGAGAATGATTCCTTTGAGAGTCTATATAAAATTGTCCTATTTATAAATATCTTATAAATCAGTAATAAAACATAAAGATGTAGAAGAATGCATGCTGAAAGATTAATGGTATATGTTGCTTATTCTTGTGGATGGAGATTATTTTTAACATTATATTTCGCTTAGCTTGGTAAATATTTTCCATCATTTATATGCTATATAAGAATGCCTGCATTGTCGGAAGTAATTTCCTCTTTGAAAGAGTGAACCACATGTTTTTATTTATTATATTTTATTTTACTTATTTTTTTTATTTTTTTCCATTCAAAAATTTACATGTCCTCCCTTCCTCCCATTCCTCTCCTGCTCCGCCACTCACCCTCCTCCCTCTCCCTCCCTCCTTAATTGAGGGCAGGGAACCCTGCCCTATGGGAAGTCCAAGGCCCTCCCCCTTACATCCAGGCCTAGGAAGCTATGCATCCAAATAGATTAGGGTCCCAAAAAGCCAGTTCATGCAATAGAAACAAGTCCCAGTGCCTTTATCAATGGTTTCTCAGTCAGCCCTCATTGTCAGTCACATTCAGAGAGTCTGGTTTGATCACATGCTCATTCAGTCTCGGTCCGGCTAGATTTGGTGAGCTCCCATTAGAACAGGGACACTGTCTCAGCGGGTGGATCAACCCCTCGTGGTCCAGATTTCCTTGCTCATCTTCTCCCTCCTTCTGCTTTTCAACTGGACCTTGGGAGCTCAGTCCGTGGCTCTGATGAGGGTCTCTGTCTCTTTCTTCATCCATTGCCGGACAAAGATTGCTTTGGCTATCCTGGGTTTTTTGTTTTTCCATATAAAATTGATTATTGTTCTCTGAAAGTCTGTGAAGAATTTTGTTGGGATTTTGATAGGGATTGTGTTGAATTTATAGATTGTCTTTGGTAGAACTGCCATTTTTACTATGTTGATCCTACCCATCCAAGATTCTATGGTGATATTCGAGATAATCTTCAGTGTGATAGTGGGGCAAGGACAGTTCAGGCATCCTCTCCTCTGCTGCCCAAGGACCTAGCTGGGGACATCCCCGTGGACACCTGGGATCCCCTCTAGAGCCAAGTCTCTTGCCAACCCTAAAATGGCTCCCTTAATGTAGATATCTTCTTCCCTGCTCCTATATCTGCCCTTCCTCCATCTCCACCCTCCCACTCGCCCAAGCTCTCTCCAGTCTTTCCTTTCTCCCTTCTCTCTCCCTCTCACCCCTTCCCCATCTCCACACCCATCCCTATCCCTACCACCATGCTCCCAACTTTTGCCCGGCGATCTTGTTTGCTTCCAATTTCCAGGAGGATCTATATATGTTTTTCTTTGGGTTCACCTTGCTATTTGACTTTCTAGGCTTGCAAACTATAGGTTTAATGTCTTTTGTTTATGACTAGAGTCCACTAATGAGTGAGTACATACCATATTCATCTTTTTGGGTCTGGGTTATCTCACTTAGGATAGTCTTTTCTATTTCTATCCATTTGCATGCAAAATTCAAGATGTCATTGTTTTTTTTACACTGAGTAGTACTCGAATGTGTATATATTCCACACCTGATTTTTGACAAGGGATCTAAAAGTATACAATGGAAGAAGGAAAGCATCTTCAACAAATGGTGCTGGCATAACTGGAAATCAACCTGTATAAGAATGAAAATAGATCCATATCTACTTTGAGCACAAAGCTCAAGTCCAAAAGGATTAAAGACCTCAATATAAGTCCGACCACTCTAAACCTGATAGAAGAGAAAGTGGGAAGTGGACTGCAACACATGGGCACAGGAGACCACTTCCTACATATAATCCCAGTAGTACAGATAACAAAAGCAACATTGAATAAATGGGACCTCCTGAAACTGAGAAGCTTCTGTAAAGCAAAGGACAATGTCATTAAGACAAAAAGGCATCCTACTGACTGGGAGAAGATCTTCACCAACCCCGCATCGAACCACATATTTTTAAATGTATTTTCTTTAGCTTTTATTTATTTGTGTATGTGCAAATATGTATGCGTGTGGATATATATGGACAACAGAGCCTGCATGGAGGTCCAAGGAACATTTATGGGAGTCAGTTCTCTCCTTTCGTCATGTGCGTCCTGGTGATCAGGAGTCAGGCTTGGTGACTGACTCACTGAGCCATTTCTCTGGTCCTCAAGAAATATTTCAGCTAGGTATTGTTCCAATCCTTAGATTAGTTGTTAGATACACATTTAATAATTTATGATTGTGTGCAAACTGTCATGATATTAATGGTCAAATGCTTATGGTTCTTACAATAAAGGACAGAGAGAAGAGTATGCTTATTAGTCATGACACTTAAGTCACATGCTGTGATCTGTAGCTGTTGTTCCATGACCGCCACTCTACAGAGAATGGTACCCCTGGTCTGGTGTTCACACTAAAGAAGTGAGCACAAAACATCCATATGCCTGCCTCTACTGGTCTTTGCTTCATGGAGGTCTCGTACCATCTGCGGGTAGGGGCTCAAAAGTCCTTCCTTCCTCGTCTAAGCCATGCCTACCTAAATGGAAAAGTTTAGTCTGAAGACACAGAGACTGATGGAACTAAGCTGTGTTGCCTCCTTAGCTTTCCTGCTTCCTCCTTTCTAGTGCTCGCTAACAATCTTGCGACCTATTTTTGTTAGCAATAATCCACCTGCCTCCTCTCTCCAAAGATGGGCTATAACACTGAGCTGTAACTATTTCTTTGCATTTCTAAAGATTTCCCCCTCCAAATTTCAAAACACAGAAAAGGTTTTTGATAAATCAGCTCTGTTGGGGTACTGAAATTCACTCTAAAAGGTGAGAAGGTAACATTTGGAGGACACACTACAGACAAAGTCTGAGAAATAAACCAAGCAATATATACAAGATTACTAAATTTGACTTCCTACAAAATTACTTAAAAAGTGATTAAAATTGACCTGCCATATAGCCAAAACAATAATTCTTCATGGATTTTCAAATGTGTGAGAAGCCTTTTGCCTGGAAACTTCACTCAACAGAAAATGACAAGGGACGATTGAACTTCCAACAGGATGGAGACTGACTTAACCATGCTTTTATTCTTTAATTTTTCTCTCATTGTCATCTCTTCCTGGTACAGAAACAACTGTAATTTCAAGTCAATAATCCCTTATGTGTGGATTTATCTTGTTGGTAGACATGTATGTTTGGGAAACTTCAAGGAGGAGGAGAGTGTTTCCCACATCCTCGTATACTCATTTTTCCTGCAGTGAAGAAAAAAATTCTGATTATAGAAAACCAAGGAAGAGTACATTTTAGTTCATAATCTGAGGAGATCTTTATCATGACAGGGAAGGTATGGTGGCATGAGATGAAGCCTATATTGAATGCCAATGTGAAAGCAAAGAGCAACTATTAGCGCTTCTCATTGTGTTTTTCCTTCAGTCCAACAACACACCCAGCACGTGGGATGATGCTTTCCACAGTTAAGGTGAGCCTTCCCACTGCTACTAATCTGATTGAGGTAGTCTGTCACAGAAATTCCTAGAGGCTTGCTGCTTAAGCAATTCGAGAACCTGCCAAGCTGGCAATTAATACAAACTTCCAAAGTCCACCCCTTGACAACTTGATGCACACACATCATTTTAATTGATCATCTTCCACTCTTTATCCCCATATACTCAGGGTATCATAGAGTGCAAAAATGAGTTCCGTTCACACTCAAAAGGCTTTAACAGTTTCAACACTGTGAGATTCTATTGTAGTCACTTAACTTTGACATTTTACAACACACACAAAAAACTGTGTAATTCCAAGATACAGTAGCATAGAGTAGATATTTTTATTCCAAAAATGGAAGAATGGGAGCACAGCAAGGAGTGACCATGACAAAACAAGGTGAATAACCACATGGAAAACTCTCGATTTTGCAGTTCCACATAAGGATGGAATTTGTGATTAATCCTTTAGGTTCCAAAGAAACCTAGTCGTCCTGTCCCACCAACTCTGAGAATGTAAAACACCTAGTCTTTCCCTTGGACTGGATTCATCCATGACTGTATCTTTCCTCAGTGGATGTCCCACCTCCCTGGAATCTACAACATCTTCACTAAAACCTAGGTATAATCTTTGCAGTCTCATGTGGTGGCTTCTGGGGAATCTCCTTTCAAAGACGGATCCTGTCACACGTTGGCTGCCCTCAACCATTCTCTAAAACAATGCAGCAAGACTGTATGACTCCCTTAAACTTTCATGCCTGCAAAACCAGTGCCATATTGTTGCTGCGGCCAAGATCTGTTGCTAACTTGAGAAGTAGCCAGGTTCCATTGGACCACAGTAGGAATATTTCTCTGTGCTTTGGTAGATGTATCTGTAAAAATAATTTCAAAGATAGTTTGTTGATGTCATTGTTTTGGTTTTGTTTGCTGTTCCTAAAGTAGGAAACCCTTTCTGAAATACACTTAGGACAGGATTCATCTCTCAGATGAATTTGTATTTTGTATTTTTATTAGGTGGTGCCATTGATAGGATTGATTGTGCTTTCTAGACTAACCTCTTATCCTAATAAAGAGCCTGGGATGTCTTTTCACAAGGACATATATATCCACTTTTTTGCCTGAATATTTTAAGTTGCTTACACAACTTTTCCTCTGTAAACTTCATGGTTTTTTTTATTTTAAAAATCTCTTTCAGATCTTAATAAAAAAAAAAGCACTCAGCAGCAGTCATTGCAAAGTCTAATTGTTATAGTGTGTTCTGATTTTCTCCACCAGGTGCTTTTAAATTCTCATCACATACACATGCGATACATGGGGAGAACGCAGCCGACTGTGGCAAGAATGGAGCAAGAATGACTTAGAGTTTCCAGTGGAGTCCTTGTTTTCCTCTGAAATCCAAAGGGCCTTGCTTCCACTGTACATATTTCTCTCAGCATTCTGGCTCTCAAACTAAATGTGCATTAAGTTCTGCTTACAATATTCCAGGGTTTTCCTATCCCAAGGTGCGAAGCTCATCCATATCCCGAACCCAAACTAGTTCAGAAAGATCAATGTCAGGATTCTTGGTCTTTCTAGAAAATAGTGCTCATGCTCCCTATGGACCCCTATGGACCAGGTTCCTGTCACATAACAAAGGCGACACAAAAGAGTCACAATTTTTAGTCTGCACAGGTTTTATTACCAATCAGCCTAACATTTTTTTCATGCTTTATCCTGAAAAAAAAAAATCAACTTGTTAATTTTTACAGGAGTTCTTCACAATGAATTATTTGTATAACTGGGGTACAATTGCCACACTACTCCATTGGACCATTTTTCTTTTTTACTTACTCACATCCTTTCTAGAAATAATTTCACTATATTCTGACTGGTTTTCCACTTTACAATATAAATTATGTCAATGAAATTTAATGGGATTTATGGATGCCATTCTCTTGTATTTTTGAGCCAATGATTTGTATTTTTAATCTTGATTGTAACTGCTAATAAATTGATACTGACTCTCAACTCCAATAAGGTGGTGTCTCTTTGATTATTTAGCAATCGTGGGAGTTCAGACCTCATATATAGCACTGGTTATTAAAGTAGCACATGCAGTTTTAAAACAAGATATATAGTTGTGGTATCAAAATAATAGAATCATAGCTTTTATAAATCCCTTCCCAAAAACTTTCAGGCTATTTAATAAATGAGCTGAGAACTTTCATCCCTGCACCCAATATTTTACCACCTCCTGGTAAAACCATAAGGAATGCATTGCCAACTGTGTCAAGAACATGTGAAAACAGTGAGGGTTTCTTTTTAGTTCTCTCATTCTCTTCTCTCAGTTGACTTATTTCTTTCATTAACATTTCAGATTTCTTTCTAAATCCTTCAACAAGAAGTTCTTCTTGGATCTGTATAAAGAAAAATCCTCCATTATTCACATGCAGAATTTTGCCTTTGACTTTAATTTATGTACATTATCTATTTCACTACCACCTAAGAAGGGTTTTGATATTTTAAGACATTTATACCTAAAAAGAGGAATATCTACTGTTTACACAAAACTAAGGAGTATTTCTCAGGACCTTCCCATGGAGACTGAAGAGCTTTATCCCAATACACACAAAAAATTTTCCCTTTTGAAGAGATTGCAGAAGGCAGGTGAATTGAAACTTACTCTCAATTCTAAGGAGGTGTCTCTTAGATTATTTCATGAATTATGGTTATGCTGATCTTGTATAGAACACTCTAAGATAGGACATATAGTTTGTTTTATATCAGCTTTATGATGAATCAAACAGGTATAAATAAATAGTGCAATTTATGAGATTGTATTATGTTCTATTTTATTTTACCATTTTATTATATTTCATTTTTCAATTTAACTAATTCATCTCTCTTTTTGAATGCATTTGTGAGCACATGTGTAAATGCATACAAATGTATATGTTTGTCCATATCTATGGAGGCCAAAGGTTGATGTCATACATGTTCTTCAAATGCTTCCTCCTTATTTTTTATTAAATGTATTTTTTTCATTACACATTTGACTATTTTGCTTACATGTGTATGTACCATGTGTGTGCCTGCTGCCCACGGATATCAAAAGAGCATATCAGAGCCCCTAGAATTCTAATTCTGGACAATATAAGGTACCATGTTATTAATGGAAATTAAACCTGGGTCCTTGGCAGGAACAATAAATGCTCTGAGCCAACTCTACAGCCCCATTTTAAAGATAACGTCTCTCCATAATTCTATAGCTAGTTGATTCTACTGGCTGGCTAACTAGAAAGCTCCAGGGGTCCTCCTATCTTTTTCCTGAAGACCACTGATAAATGTCACGTCTTCCAGATTTTTTCCATGGATTCTGAAGATCCAAATGTTTTCCTCATACATGTACAATGAGAACTTCAGTGACTGAGCCATCTCCCCACCCCATTCTCCTCCTGTTTTACCCTGGGCTAAAATCTGTTGTCTGAGGTTTTCTGTCCTGCCCTGTTCCCACAATTGTTAAGTCCAAAAAAAATCACACAGAGGTATATATTAATGATAAACTGATTGGCCCATTAGCTCAGGCTTCTTATTAACTCTTAGAACTTATATTAAACCATTATTCTTATCTATGTCAGCCACATAGCTCAGTACCTTTTTCAGCAGGGCAGGTCATATCTTCCTTCTACTGTGTCTCGGCAGGACTGGAGAGGAATGGGCTTCCTCCTTCCCAGACTTATCCTGTTCTCATTGACCCACCTCTACTTCCTGTCTGGTTTTCCTTCCTATGCTTCCTGCCTGGATACTGGCCAATAAGCGTCTATTTAAAATATAATTGACAGAATATAGATATTGTCCCGCACCACAACTGATATATTCACACTAGATGGATCCACCTCATTTTCTTTGAAGTATAAGCCTAGAATCCTAAAGACTATTGGAAAGCACAAGAAGACCATCCTAGAAATTCAACAAACAGCATCTCAGAACCCTGGGGACATTATTTATACACTTGAAGTCTAACCCTACACAGATACTGGCGTCTTATGTGCTCAGAGCTTCAGTAAGGCCCATATGAACTTTGATGCAACAGTCACAGTTAGAGTTACATGTTTTAGAATAACAGTTCTCTTTCTGAGAAATCAGAGCACCATCTGTCTGGCACTGACAAACCCCATCCACACTCACCTTCAGCTTGTGCTCCAGCATCTTCTCCTGTTCTCTCAGAAGAGTCTCCCTTTCCTCCTCCATCTTCTCTTGAAGTTTAGCAATGTTTTCTCGGAAGCTTCTCTCTTGAGCTTCCATCACTTGCTCTTGCTCCTCCTGTTTCTGTCTCAGCAGCTCGCGTTCCTTCTCAGCCTCCTCCTTCTTTGTCTTCTCAGCTGTTCCACAGATGTTCAAGAGAGGAAAAAAAAATCACAGTTAGAATGTAGCTATACTGTCCAGGGCTCAAAGGGAAACCTGTGAGTATTCCCATTAGCCAGGTCAGCAGCATCATGGTTCCTAACATGATGGAAAGGCACCAATTAACTGGACATAAAATACAACACCAACACACTTTGTGTTTGCACATCTAGGAGAGGTCAAACGGCCAGGAGGAAGCTTTTTGTTCCAGAAGGATCTACCTGTGCACCAGTCAGAGGACTTTGCATAATGTACCCTCCTCTCTAACAGTTGGACACTCTACCCTACCTGCTATGGCCTTCTGTCCATCTGTAAGGGCTTTGTCTGACTGCAGGATGGAGTTCTCTACAGTACCCTGTGACTGTAGGAAGCTCTTGAGAACCTCTTTTGCCTGGGGACCCAAGAAGAGAAAATATAATTTAGACAGTAAAGATTAAGTCTTCTGCTGAGGTATTTACTGATAAATAAAACTACTAATTTGTTGAGTCCTGTCCCACAAGGTCCATTTCATTCCATGGCCATAATGAAAGTACAAGTTTTTTCAGATTCAAAAACCCTCTGCCTCAGCCTTCTTGCTAGCTTTACTGCCTCTCTTCCCAGAAATGCTTCCTACCAGCTGCCCCACATTACAGTTCCAACCACAGTTACAAATCTGTTCCATGCAGTTCCACAGACACACAATTTCCATTGGTTACCATGTTTGAAAATATTTTGTCTCCTACCTTCATGGGTGTTCCAGACTTTACAGCTAAGACAACATATACAGTCATGACACTTTGTATCTTAGAGAGCTTAGTCTGATATTTCTGGAAGCATTGTTAGTTTGTTTTTATACAGCTTTATTATCGTATTATTAACAAATGAAAATTCTAACTGTTTAAGACACGTGAAGTTTTAATGCATTATATGTATTAAGGAGGCTGCCTGTTGGTCCCCGTCACCAAGAACTGAAATAAACACACAGAAACTGTATTAATTAAATCACTGCTTGGCCTATTAGCTCTAACTTCCTCTTAGCTAGCTTTTACTATCAGGTCAAGCAAGTTTCCTTATTAACCAATGCTATTCAGCATAGAGAAGGGAATCCCACATCAATTATATATTTAAGTAATTATCAGAGTTGAAAAAAATTACATACCAATTGCCTCAAATTACCTTTGTGTGGTAATAACACTTGAAATCAACTTTTTTAGCTTTTAGATATATATATATATATATAAGATTATCCTATGCATACTCACTATTTGTCTTTCTAAACAATATGTCTTATAGCTATATGTTCATATCTCTTGATGAGTGTCTCACTATTCTCTCTATTCTCCGTCACAGTAATCACCATTATACTCTATGTTAGTGTGGCAGTTTAAATAAGATTGGGTCCTATGGGCTCATATATTTAAATGAATGGTCCCCAGTTGGTACTACTATTTGGGAAGGATTAGGAGGTGTGGCCTTGTTGGATAAAGTGTGTCATTGGGGGTGGGCTTTGAGATTACAAAAGTCCACACCAGTCCCAGTCTCTTTCTCTGCCTGTTCCCTGTGCACAGAACATGAAGTCCTCAGCTCCAGTGCCATGCCTGTCTGCTTCCCACCAGGATGACTATGTATTGCTCCTCCAAACTGTCTAAAATACCACATTGGGCTGCCATAAGTTGTGAATCACCTTTTTGGGGTGACTTTTGTTGCAATTCTAAGAGCAGCAGGTTTGTATGTTCCAGGTTAGGGGCATGAAATTAGAAATATTAGGTAAGAGGATCAGAGAAGAAAGAAACACAGAGATGCAGGATAGTAAGAGAAAGGCAACTCAGCAAAATACTGAATGATGAATTATGAGTACTGAGTTTGCCCACATTTATTTTTCATACACCTTAATGCCCTGATACCAAAGGGGGATCGAAGGCCAAAGACTGCTTTAACATGATACAAAGGAAAACAAGTACTGTTACTTATTTCAATACTTTAGACATGGAGCTATTATTTCCTGAGGAAAGAATTGGATGTTTGGGAAATGTACACACCATAGACCAAGTGTCCTGTAGGCAGCCACTCCCTAAATCAAACCTCCTATTTCAAAAGAAAGAGAAGTATGCTTGAATTCTATGACCTTAGGTTAGGATGGAGTAGATCTATTTCAATGGGCCATAGTCCAAAACCTTCAGACAAGGTGGAATAGGCTCACATTTTTGGGTCTCCACACAAAACTATAAGCAAGTCCCCAGTACTTTCCTTTATAAGACTTGCCTTGGTCATAG